TAGGTAAGCAAAAAAAAAAAAAACTCTAATAAATCCATTTATCTGTCATTTCTCACTCAATAGAGAATAGAACCATCTTACAAAAATCACCAAAATCAGGCCACAAAAGCAGTTTCTCAATCATTGTTGCCATCAATGAAGAAGAATGTTTCTGCTGTATGCAAACCAGAAGTAAAACAACACAAAATCAGTAGAAAAAATAAACTGCAGAGGCAGCAAATTTAAAGTTCTGTTAATGCTTATATCACTCTGGTAGCCAAGTAAGGGCAGGACTTAAACAGCCTATCAGGTATACTTCTCTAACAACATAGTTTACTTGGCTCCACCAGGTGCTCCCACAAGGACATCATACTGGAAGCTCCAATAGTATAATTTTTAGAAAGTAAAATAATGATATTAAGGAAAATATATTATCACATCAGATATTTTATTTTACTGGTTAACTAATGACTAAAAAAGTAATATGTTAAATTTGTTCCAAATGGCATTGGAGAAGTTATGCATATATAGGCAATTTTTAAAAAGAAATATTAAGTTAACATTTCTAGATTAGATACACAATTGATTAATGTCTAAAAAGTCCATAGGTGTCAGTCTTTGAGGTTACTTATTCCACTGGACAGAATTTATCTATCTCTCCAGCTATCTAAAATCTCCAAGTTAACCTCTGTTTTTACATGGTTCAGACAATAAAAAGTTAAGCTCAGCATGTCATGAAGAAACCCTCAATAATCTTTTTCTTTATTTCCAAGATTTGAATAATTATTCTTTACATCAAACTGAGCTTGCCTTGAATTTTTAAGGATCTCACTTGAACACCGCTTCAGCTCAGAAATATCCAAGCCTTAAACCCAACTTGATACATCTTTAAAATCTAGTATATCACTATGGGCTAACTATATTAACTATAAAAATGATCTTTTCCTTATTTCCATTACATCTAAATTTATACACTATAAAGAGAGTCAGACCTCTGATCTTATTATTTTCAACTAATTATCAACAAGGACCTAACTTTATACTTTCTCCGTACCCAACCTAGAACCATGGTTCAACACTTCAATCTCTGTTGTATCTTTATCTTCAACTCCTTTAAATACTTAACTTTTGCATATCCTGGAATATTTTGTGGTCTTATCTGCTTTTATTTCTTTGATGTATAAAAATTGATAGTGTAAAACTCACCCATGAAACTCAGTGTCATAACTATTAACCTTTGACCAGTTCAAATCCTTCACTGTACTTATTTTGTTGCCCTATCAGCAAGACTGTCCAATGTTCAAATAAAAATCATGTTTGGTTGGCACAAGACCACAGACTCATCGTTCTACATTCCTAAGGTCTCCCATTAGTCAAAGTACACATGCTTTTCCTTCATGGGCCTGTAGTGAAAGGATTAGATTCTGACCATCTTTTATTCATTTTCCAACGGAATGTTTAATAACTCCATCACTGAAATCATTCAGCTCCTATAAACTTAGATGAATCTAATCCTAATATTTTTTAGACTCTAATTTTTAAATGTTTCCATGAGTCAAATGATCATAAAAATACTGTTGAATAAATTTCAAAGTGATAAACAGATGCCAATATGACCACTACTTTAGACTATAATCTAAGCACCAATATCTAATAATATGCATTTTAAAATTCCCAAGTAAAGTCAGAGACAGAAAGTAAATTAGTAGTTTTCAGGAGCCGGGGCAAGAATGTTTCTTGGAGGCAAAAATGGAGAGTAAGTACTAATGGGTACAGGATTTTGGGGGGGGCGTGATAAAATTTTTTCTAGATCAGTAGTGATATTTGTACAACTTTTTGAGTACACTAAAGCCTTTAGAAGAGTGACTTTTATTGTACGTGGAATATACCTCCTTAAACAGGTGAAGAAAAGAAACACAGTAGTCTCAGAATTTAAAATCTGTACTAATCTCGATCTATATTGCAATTGCCAGCCAGAATTTACCAAATTTTTGCCTTCAGAGAACCAGAAATGATAAATAATGTATTGGCTGTTGTTCTAATATTTGCTCTTCCTCATTAATATTTTCCAAGTCATTAAAGAACAACAACAAATTCCCTTGTTCCCTTTCCCCCTGCTGAAGTAGTATCTATTCTCATAAGAAAAAAAAAAAAAAAGTAACTCAGGCCTTGATGAAACAGAATAAAGACTTTATTTAAAAAGGCCAGTGGAGCCCAAGCTTTGTTCAGGAATAGTAGGAAATATTAAGGTATGCACCATTAGAATAAGTGGCTTTATCAATGTTACTAAAGTCTATGATGACAGTAGAATTATGGCCATACCTTAGGAAAATCTGCAACAAACACTATGAATAAATCTAGATCCCAAATCATAGCTTCCTTAAAACACCTCCATTTTACTACTTGTAGGCATTTTAACACTATATTTATTGGGTTTTTGGTAAGTATGATTAAAATTCAGTTTTCATCTAGATAAAAACTCTCTCCAGAAGTATGATGTTGGCCTAAATTCAAAAACCACCAAGCTTCCTACCCTTTTGCAGAAGATGCAGATATAATTGCACCATCTCTAATCACTGAGACACACTGAAAGAATTCGACACTTCAAGGATTCTTGCAGGCACTGAGTATCATTACCATGAGGAGAGGTTGGGAAGTTGAAAGGTGAGTCAGGAAAAAAAGAACAAAAGTACAAGAAGTAGTAAGGAAGGGACCAAATCACGGTCTTAAAATATGCAAAGGCCTTTCCCTTTTCTTTCTAGTTAAGCATTTTTTTCATTTGAAAAAACAGAAGGCATCCCCATGTCTGATTAAGTGTGAGTTATGTGTCCTGTAAAGACAAAAAAAAGTGTCTAAACCACTTTCAATTTGAAGAGTCAATCCTCCTAGACACTTACACCATATTCCACATTCCATTTCATTTTAAAACTTAAAATCTATAAATTTAACATTTAATTTTAAACAAGTTTTAAAGATGATGATTGAAGCATGTATGTTACTTATTATTAGAAAAGATGGTCTTAGTATTGTGAAGTTACCTATTTATATCACAGTGCCATTATAAGTTAATTGTATTTATCTTCATATATAGGGATAATGCTACCATATGGCACACATATGACGAGATAAGTTTGTTACAATGAATGTTTATATATAAAAAAAGAAAAATCTGTTACATTCTTAATACTATGACTTTTTATATTTTGGAGATCCTGCACTATATTTTAGGAATATAAAAGAATAGAAAGGTAAAGAGATTATACTCAGTAGCATTGCTGTACCCTCAAAATTATAACACTAAAAGTGTCTTTTCAACCATGTCAGATAATTCAAGCTTTTCTATATAATCTTCAGGAAGGCAAAACACTGAAAGTTCAGTGTGTTTTATATCTCGTCACTACATTTGGTGAACTGACCACATCTCTGACAGGCAGTGCCCTAAGCAGGGACACAGATTATCTGCCATAGTCAGGGCTGGGTATTTTTCAATTTTTCTCATCTTTGAAAAAAGAGCAACATATCCATGTTCAGGTTTTTCGATATGACACATGCAGTGACATCATATCATCCTGTGGGTATGGTTATTCATTGACATTTCTTAAAGATACCAAGATCTGTATCTGTGCCTAAGATCCCTCCCAGGATGGGCAAAATCAACTCTGTCTATCTATCTTTTAAAAATTTAATTAACTTTAAATTTTGTTTTACTTGACATAGTAGGACTATAATATGTGTATTACAAAATATTTTAAAAGGACTTGAGATGGCATTTTAAAAATATTCTCAAAAACATATGCATATTTGACTAGGTGAGCATTATTATGTTGTTAGTACTTTATAACTGAAACACCGAAGTAAGTTTCATAGGGACAATAGGACAATTTTCAAATTCTCCCTTAATTTATTTTAAATACATTTTATTGTAGAAGCCTTGCTTTTGGAAATGTCAGCAGAAATGTAAAAAGGCTAGAGGTCAGCTACAAACTAGAGGTCTTTATTTGGTGTTATTAGCATATTTAAACTAAATTGAAACTCTTGCGTGATTTCTGAGGATTTTCATGTTTTTCAGAAGAATACTATAATATTTTAGAGAAAGAATCTTCCTCAAGCATCCGTGTTTTCCAAGTAAGGGAATAATTCAAAAGCAGGGTTTAGTCTACCGTGATGAATGAAAACACACGATATGTGCATTGGCTTTAGTAACATGTAAATCATCAAGGATGCTTTTAGGAGCCATTTCAACAGAAGAGATCTCAGACTTTAGCTTATGCTCTATTTCCCATGCTGTCATCAGCTTTTGTCTTCTAGACATTTGAAACTTTAATGCCGAAGTTTAAAAGCACTCCTTAGATACCAGTTAGGGTGAACTGTGAATGTTCATTTTTTTAAAGTAAAGCAAATGCACTTTTTGGATTACAAACATTATCTACTTTTAGGAAAAATGTTAATAAAATAATCCTTTTTACTATAGATTTGACAATTTAGCTCTCAGGTTGGGTGTGTGTGCATCACAGGCTAGTGTGTGTATAAAAATCAATCAATATAAAACAATCAAGTAGAATCAGTGATTTGAAGTAATTAATATTGTCACCTGATCAAAACAGTTATTCAAAATTTGGTCAGACATAAGTTAGTCAAGCTTTTGTTGTGAATAATTTAGAATCAAATAAAATATTTTCAAAATATTTGTACTACGCACTTCAATGTTATGTTGCTCAGAGAGGAAAGGATTTCTATTATCCTCGGTGATGGCCAAGCTGCGATCCAACCATTTCACTGAATAAACATAAGTTTTCACAGTGCTTAACATCTGTTGTTTTCTGTTTGTTTTTTTTTAATGCCAGTTACTTCCCATATATAATTCAGGCAAAAGACTTCTTTGACGGGTTAGAAACACTGAAGGAAACAGACTAAAGATAAATATTTATAACTGTGGGTATGAAAAATATAACAAGTAAAAAATATAAATTAAAAATTTTTAAAAGCATTAATTACGAATCTACATATAAATGAAACTAGACAGTTACTAAAAGTCCTTCACATTTTCATTTACTCAGAAAATTAGTCCAATCATCTTTACAGCCATCAGTGAAAGACTGTTTCTGATACTTCTCCAAGATATGCAAGGTTTTTTGTTTAAATATACAGTCTGAATTTCATCACTGTCCTAATGTCTCAAGACAGACTGTAGATAATGGAATCTCAATTGTGTCTTGAAAGATCAAAAACAAAACAAAATTCAGTCTGTCCTATAAGAATGGTATATTTACAGAAGAGTTTCTTATTAACTAAATACTTCCCTCTTATCCATTCTACCTCTCAGCTATTTATAAGTTTTATCTACAGTGTAAGATGATAGCCAAATTATCCAACATCATCTTTTTTCAAAAAAGAAATGGTATCTAAAGAAAAAAATGAGCGGTACCATATAGCAAGAGACTTACAAATACAAAATCATTGAAATTTATTGAACACTGGTACTAGATATTACTGAAAACTAAATTTTAAAAGACCCTTGGATTTCTGTATTGTTTTTTTACTTTTCAAAGACTTCTCACCAGTACCATCTCATTGCAATTACCACTATACACCAAGATAGGTATGGAAATGATTATCTCTAATAGATGAAAACCAAGAAATATAACATTTGCAGTTACAATAGAAAAATAAAAACAAGTAAAGAAATAATCACGAAATCATTCCAAGAGAAGCCTTTTAGGTCTCAAATCAGATTTGTTGATTTTACTATTTCTCGCTTCTTGACAGCTTTGGTGACCAGGATAGAAAGTTCATTTCCTGTTTCCCCACTGAGTATTCCCTAGAAGGGTGTAAGATTCATGGGGTCTATAGACAATATACACTTCTAAAACATTCATGTTTGGTAGAGAGCTCTGCAACAACCAGAAATAGTTTTAGGATAAAAAATAGGACTATATTATGAACACCATTAACACCACATACATTTTAACTAGAGGGTCACTCTAACCAATGTCACTGACATGCTGGAATGTTGGGTGAAACTGACACACGAAAATGATCCCGAAACTTACAAGGAGTCTCACACAGTGATATCTGGTTACTATCTTTCACAGTCATGGGAACAAAGTCCTAGAGAGCCACTGGGTCTTAATCCATGACATAAAAATCATCCTCAATAATGTGATATCAAGTACTTGGACACACATATCTAGTTGTTGCAGTTTGTTTCTTATTTATAAATACATAGGAACCAAAAATGTTAGCAGTACCACAGCAGAAATACTGATTCCAACACAGAGTCCCTTCGTGGAGCTCATCCCTGGATTTTGTGCCAGAGACGCTTGAGTTTGTTACGCTTAAGGCCATTTGAAGACTGTCACCCTGCCATTCCCATCTGTTGCACAAGGGTGCAATGGTGCTGGTAGGTTAGGTCCTTGATTCCTGCAGTGTTTTAGCCTGGGTTTCTGTTGGCTGTGTTGGAGAATGTGATGTAGTTACTGGTTCGTGGTTTTGTGTGGGTGTTGGCATTGGAGGCGCAGAGACTAGATGACATTGGAACAATGGTGTTTCCAGCTGGTTTAACCTCCAGTGATATGGTGTGTTATCATTAACTATCCCTTGCGCTTAATATGGCAAAAATACAGGCCACTGTTGGCCTCGACTGCATACTCTGTGGCCAAAGACATTCCCTTTTAGGGCTTCCCTGGTGGCGCAGTGGTTAAGAATCTGCCTGCCAATGCAGGGGATGCAGGTTCGAGCCCTGATCCAGGAAGATCCCACATGCCGCAGAGCAACTAAGCCCATGCACCACAACTACTGAGCCTGCACTCTAGAGCCTGTGAGCTGCAACTACTGAGCCCACGTGCCTAGAGCCCTTGCTCTGCAACAAGAGAAGCCACTGCAATGAGAAGCCCACACACTGCAATGAAGAGTAGCCCCTGCTCACTGCAACTAGAGAAAGCCGGTGTGCAGCAATGAAGACCCAACACAGCCAATAAATAAATAAATAAGTTTTATATTAAAAAAAAGACACATTCCCTTTTAAAAGGTAGTGCTTTGCCTTATAATGCCTATGCTTCTGAAAAGTCACATGAGATCCATCAGTCCAAAATAACTGTATCTGAGCATCAAGACATAGGACATGTCCCTTGGCTCCAGTGCACAGATATGACCACTGTACTAGCCACTGAGTAGGCACAGGGTAGCACAACAGGCTGATCCACCAACCCTCTCCCTTGTGAATAAGAAACTAGAACATCTGTCAGGAGCAGATGAGATAACTACCTGAGTCACAGTATCCCTGTGTTAGGAGGGAGTTTCTCAGCTTCTTGTTTATAGCCTTTCCTTCCTTCTCATGGACTGTTTGTAAAAGAATCAATTTTTTAAAATTTATTATACATGATTCTTTATATTTCACAATTAAAATGTTAGTCTCTGGTCTGCTGACTGTCAAGTTGTGTTCAAGTCCTGGCCTTATTCTAGATCAGTTACGTGGCTTTGTTTTTCCTTCACTTTACAGTGGATAATGCATTTTTCTTGACAGTGATGTGAGAACATGTTGTTATATGCAGTATACAGAAGTGCACAATGTTTGGGGCACATAATATAAGTGTAAATTATAAAATAACATTTACAACAAAAGCAACAACAATATTATTGTTAGTAATTGTATCATTGTCTTCTTGACTTGCAAGTTTAGCCTGTATCTTCTGTTATGTAACATGCCATGCTGTTTCTTACATAACAAAATGTGTCGTTACTTTATTTTTTCTATCATTACTTTATTATTGCTATACATTCTTGCAATGCTGCTAGTTCAAGTTCTATTTAACTTTCATGAAACTTCAGCTGTTTATACCTAGGAGCATTTTGAAAGTAATAAACTCCGTTATACGTATGCTTAAATGACTCATTAAATAATGCTGTTGTTGTTACAATTTCATAGGCAAAATAGTGATTTTTTTCTACAAAACTTTACCAAAATTCAATATAGAATTCTTTAGGTAAACACTAATATTTGACTGGGAAGCCATGAGTTACATATTTAGGATTAAAGTTATCTTATATCATATTTTCTGATTCAAGAATAAATAAAAATATATACATACATGTTAAATTGCCATCGTTACACTTGAAAGTGATAGATGAAATAACCTATGTGATGAAGTTAAATTTGCACACATGGTAACATAATTTTCCAGCATTTATATTCTGTTCTATATAGGATATTGTCATTTTCATATGTCTTTTATTTATACATAATTTATTTTGATACATTTTAATCAAAAATATTTTAATTAAGATTTCCATTTTCTTATGTAAAAATTATTTCAGCTACTGAAAATATGGGAGGATAAATGACATAGTTCCAGAGCTCTAAGAGAGAACATTTAAAAATTTTCAGTGTCATATATTTGGAAATCATATTAAATTCTTATATAAAATCAAGCTTCCTATGTGTTATTGAAAATTGATATGTTAAAATTAATTTAAAAACAGCCATAAAAGATTGAAACAAAACTGATGGAGGAGTTGTTTACCTATCAGCAGAACATTAGCAATTTCCTCTTATGTTTTAAAATAAAATTTGCTGTATAGAAGTGATTGCATTTGAAATTACTGGTATATTTGAATGCAACTACCAAACCATGAATAATGAGGCTTCCATTTGCTGGAAAAATAAATTAGAAGGCAATGCTTTGCTAGCAAAGTCATTTGAGCACTTCAGTTCATATCTATTCATGGTACCATTAACAGATGTCTTTGTTAACACTGTGGGCTGCCTTATGATATTGTTGTATTCAGCATTACTTTACAGCTAAAGTGAATGTAGGCAACTTGTTCCAGGATATAATTAAATGAACCCTGATATAGAAATCCTGTGGGAAATTATCCAATAGTTTTACCAACATAACTAATCGTCTTCTTATGAAATCATAATTCCCACTACACTTTTAGAGCTATTGAAAGTATTAACATCATCATTTCTCTGTTCCTATCTCAGAAAATCACAAAAATATAAAACAGTATAGCAAGTGAGACATTCTGTTGGAAAAATGTTTTTACTTCTAAAATGAAAGTAATATAAAGTGAATATGAAACAGGTTGTAGGTTGCTTGTTGACACTAAAAATACCTTTCTTTAAAAAAATCAATTTCTCTAAGTTAATGACATGATGCTAGTGACCAGAACACTATAAGAAAGGCAAATTATTCAAGGAAAAAAATCAAAAGTGACGTGGCCTTTACTAATCATCTCTTGGTATCAAATTCCTAAGAAATATTTAAGAACTCATATGTAGTACATATTCAGTGAAGCAGTCCTGTATATGAGTACCTGCCCACATTTTTGTACCATGCCTGTCGGAAACAGTGTATATAGTAGAAAAAATTCAACAACTGTTAGAGTTTAGGCAATTCATTTAATTTCAAAACACTGATTCTTCACTGTGAAATGAGAATAATAAGAGCTACCTTGCACTGTAGTGAGTATTTAACTAGACAAGAACTAAAACATGTCTAGTTTTAGTATTTCTAATGTAGCATTTCTAAAAGTTGGTGAGTATATTCTATTCATTGTTTTGACATTGGTCTTCAGAGGTGGGAGAAAAAGGCCTATAAATCAGTAATACTAGGAACATCTAAAAATATACGGGCTTGTGAAAATGAAAACTAAAAATGATCAATTAAATATCCCTTCATGTACTTGACTCAATACTACATTAAAAGCAATAGTTGATAATTATTTATTACTGAGAGTTCCTAGGCCATGTTATTCACAGAGAGATTACAAGGAAACAAACAAAACTCCAAAAGATTAGGTAAACTTTAGGCATAGGAAATACAGTTCTTGCCTCTTGCCTATTTTTTTTGCCCAAGATATGAATTTTCTTTGTGTAAATTCAGACCACGTTTACTCTACACTATCAGTAGTCTGTCATTATTTACTAAACATAACTGGAATCTTTCTCTCGTAAATATGCCACATAATTCTATTCTTCAACTTGGAATTTGACATTCCTAGGTGTATGTTAATAAAGTTTTAAGAAGTGCATTCATGTATATTCAGTCTCCATGTATACACTGAGTCCCTTCTTATGTGCTTATACAGAAGTATCACAACTGGTCCGTGTTGTTAAGGATAGATAAAAATACAGTATACCATGAGACAGAATCTACTACCTGTAGGAGACAGGTCCTGAATACTGAAGTATTAATGAGTCACAAAGCTACATGAATAAAATATAAAATAATTTCAAAGAAGATGAGGGGAAATATAATTTTAGGCAAAATAATGTCCCAAAGTGCTTCTAAAATTAAATAAAGCTGAACCTAAAATTTTGCTATCATTAAAGTTAAGATGCTTTTCTCTTTTTAACATAGCATCCCTTGGTATAAAAAATGTGATTAAATAATTTATAGAAAAGAAGTTTCTGAATTTTTTTCACAAGTTTGTAGTGATTTTAATAATAGAGTTTGTCTTTTTTCTCAATACATTGACCATTATATCTAAAAGGTTAAGCAGAAACATGGAAAACTTGTATGTCCAATTATATTTATTTTTGTATCATATATAAAGCTTGCAACTTTAGAATCATCTCAAAATTACTCATAATTAATTTTTGAGAAGGTAATTGATTCTCAGAGCTGGAAAAAAACTTACATGGTATGTAATTCAAGTCTCAAATTATACAATTGAGGAAACTCAAGTGGAGAACGCAAATATTTACCCTGTTCTTTCTGATGTAGTTAGTAGTGGAATTGGACTTAAAACCTCCACTGTCTAGCTGGAAGTCTAGAATATTTACACTCTAATCTTCAATCAAGAAAGACTTTAATTCTTAATAATAAAATCTTATAATACGATAAACTTGGGATATAATTAAATGTAGTTTCTTGCACTGTATTAAATGTCTAAGACACTAGTATAACTCACTTTACTTGATTTTAAAATATTAACACACTTCTTAATGTTTCTTAATGATATACTGATTTTATCAAATACCAAAAAATTCTGACTGTGAGTTGAAGAATAGTGTGGAATCTGGGACATCAATTAAAAAACTATTGCAGAAAACCCATATGGCTTAGACTAAGATATTACAGTTAAGGTGACTTAATTGTGAACCAAGAAAGCAATTCAGATATATGTGTTGGGAGAGAGGTGTCCAGAATGATTCTAAACTTTACACTGAGCAATTGGAAGGGTGAAGGTATTGCTAGTTATGAAGAGGAGAACTACAGATGGAATGAGTTTGAAGTCAGAATGGTATAACATAAGAAATGCATCTTTAGACATGTTATTTTTGAGATTAATTGTACCTCCAAGTTCCTATGCTGAGAATGTTTTGTGACATAAAACTTCAAAAGTTGGCAGATCGGCTAGGGCTTGGAGATATAAGTTTGGGGAAATCAGCACATAAATGATATTTAAATCCAAGAGATAGGATGAAATCCCCAGGGGAGAGGATAAAGCAAAAGATGAAGGAATAAGGAGGAAACCTGGAATTTTCTAATCACAACAGGTTGGAGTAAAACAAAAGGTAAGACAGAACAGTGTGGTGTGCTGGAGGTAAAGTGTGTAAAAAATGTGCAGTTATTCTTGTAACCTATAGTAGTCTTCGATGAGCTTGATGGAAACAGTTTTGGTGCAACCATGTGGATAAAGCTGAATCAAACAAGGGTTAAGAGAGGATGGAAAAAGAAGCATTGAAGACATCAATTCTTTCAAGGACTTTTTGCTCCAAGGAGAGGGAAGCAGAGAAAAGAGGGGTGGTATCTAGAAGAAGAAATATTATTAAAATAGTAGAGCCAACAGGTATTTATATACGCTTAGAAATTATTTAGTGAAGAAATAAATAAATGATGTAGATAAGGAACAGGAGAATTGTGAGACTGAGGACTTTAAGTAAAATAAAAAGAATGGACCTCAGTATATATTTCAAAGGAACTGAGACAGGAGCAGCAACAGTTAACCTATTGCAACCGTTAAGGAAGCAGCCACTGGGCAAAAACAATTCCAGTGCCTTTCTAATAACATGGGTGTTAGTCAATAAAATAAAATATTTATCCTATAAATATTCACTTAAATTCACTTATAAAGTGAATTTAATAATAAGATACCAAAAGTTGCTAAGTACTTAATAATAGCATTAATTTCTGAACTATATTTTAAAATATTATTTGAACATATTAAACAGGAAAATACTAAATGTAATATAAGTTATTTTTGTTTCATGCTATGGCTGTTATGGCATATTATGGATATTATGCTCTTTTAAAATTTAAATAGAACATATGAACTCTACAGCATATACACACACACACACACACACACACACATATGCATAAAACTAAGAGAATTAAATATCTGCTCATGTAATAAAATCTGAATTATTAATACAGTACCAAGGAAATTGAGGTTCTTATTCCTACCAACTTAAGTCAACTTTCAATTTGCTCTGAAATATCCATTTATAAATATCTAATTTTTCTTGTAGATAGTCTAAGAAAATATTTATTAATATTTACAGCTTAAATAAATTTAGCAAGTTTTAAGTTTTCTGGAGAAAGAAATGACACCACCTAAATTACATTTTTTATTGTCTTTAAGTTCAATTTTGCAGTTATTAACTCCTTTAACAATCATATTAGTTTAACATACTTTCATGATAAAAACACTCAACAAACCAGGAACAGAAGGAATACCACAACATACTTGAGTCCACCACAGAATAAAAACCCAGTGCTAAAATCATACTCAATGGTAAAAGACTGAATTCTTTTCCTCTAAGATCAGGAACAAGATAAGTATGCCTGGTTTTACCACTTCTCTTCAAGATAATTTTGAAAGTTATGGCCAGAGCAATTAAGGAAGAAAAAGAAATAAAAGTCCCCCAAATTGGAAAGGAAGAAATAAATTTATATCTATTCACAGATGACATGGTCTTATTTGTATAAAATCTCAAGTCTACAAAATAAGATAACCAAACGGTTGGAACAAATAAATGAGTTCAGCAAAGTTGAAAGATATAAAACATACAAAAATTCAATTTCTATACACTAACAGTGAACAATCCTAAAAGGAAACTAAGAAAACAATTCCATTTACAGTAACATCAAAAAGAATAAAATCCTTAGGAATAAACTTAACCAAGGAGTTGAAAGACTTGTTCACTGAAAATGTCATAATATTGCTGAAAGAAATTAAAGATGAAACAAATATACGGAAAGACGTCTCATTTCCATGGATTAGAAGACTTAGTGGTGTTAAGATGTCAACACCGTCTAAAGCAATCTGCAGATTCAATGCAATCCCTATCAAAATTCTGTTGAGAATTTAGCTAAACTACTCCATAATATTGCTGCCCCGGCATCTATTTTGTCCTTGAACTGACACCAGCCCCTCCTGTGAGAGCATGCCCTGGGCAACAGTCTGCAAAGTCACAAGAAAGTGTAAATTCCTGATAGGACTCCCCCAAAGGCCCTGGTGAATAGTGTCTCTCCTGCCTCCCAGTTCCTTCCCCTTGTGTACCCTTTAGACAAGCCCACTGCTGAGCTGACTGTAACCTCACCATGTGAGGTTAACCACCACCATGTTCTCAGTATCTATGACTCTGTTTCTGTTTTCTTATATTTGTTCATTTATTTTGATTTTTAGATTCCACATATAAGTGAAATCATACAGTACTTTTCTCTGACTTATTTCATTAAGTATTATACCCTCTAGGTCCATCCGTGTTCTCACAAATGGCAAGATTTCATTCCTTTTTATGGCTGAGTAATATTCTATTGTGTGTGTGTGTGTGTGCCACATCTGTTTCAAATTTTTTTGAAGTATAGCTTATTTATAATTCATTAGCTTTATGTATACAGCATAGTGATTCAGATATTTTTTCAAATTATATTTCATTCTCAGTTATTATAAGATAGTTAATATGATTCCCTGTACTATACAGTAAATCCTTTTTGCTTATCTATTTTATGTATAGTAGTTTGTATCTGTTAATCTTATAATGGTAATTTTTCTCTGCTTCTGCCCTTGGGTAACTATAAATTTGTTTTCTGTATTTAGAGGCTATTTCTGTATTGTATCTAGATTCACTTGTATTATTTTTTAGATTCCATATATAAGTGGCATCCTATAGTATTTGTCTTTGTCTGACTTATTCCCCTAAGCATAATATTTTCTAGGTCCATCCATGTTGCTGCAAATGGCAAAGTCATTCTTTTTTATGGCTGAGTAATAATCCATTGTATGTATGTATGTATGTGTATATATATATATATATATATATATATACACACCACATCTTCTTAAGCCAGTCATCTGTTGATGGACACTCCAAGTCTTGGATG